CATACTTAATCTTCCGAGATTCACATAATATGCAAATACAATTAACTAAAAGGCCAGTTTAAGTAAAAGAATAATTTAAACTTTAGTATTAAAAAAACGCAAAATTATCGGAGTGTAAATTCAAAAAACAACTACATAGATTCAAGGGATTATCGGAGTGTAAATTCAAAAAACAACTACATAGATTCAAGGGATTAAATCCTAGTAAAGAGTTTAACTACACATATTCAAAAATTTAAACATAATTTCGATGAAATACAAAGCATTTAGTATCATTACAACTGTTAAGAAAGCACAAGAGGTAAAGAAAACTCCTGGGTATTTCTGAAGTTACTTTAACAAGTCAGCTTCTCGCTTCCTAGGGTGAGAGGTCTAGAGTCTTCGTTATGTAGCTTGTTTTTAACCTTTTTGTGTAGTGTCTAAAGCTAAGTCTTGTTGTTACTTTTCATCTGATCTTCTTCTTTTCATAGAGCTCTCAGCATGTTTCCCTTTTACATGGTTTGAGCTTACTTTTCCAATGATTCAAAATTACTTTTTGTTTAGTTTTTAGTTAATTTACCAAGCCCATGCTTTAATTGTACTCTTTGTCTCATAATCACCTTTTTTATTCATTTTTTTATCACCAAATCCAGCCCCTAAATCAAAACCTTTTTATGATTGAGTTCAGCCACTTGTTGCCGTCAAATCAGCCGCATTATTCTTTCGCAACCAATTTTTCACCGCTACTCCTCTTTCTGCCCGATTTGTCAATTTTTTGTCCATATTTGTAATTAGTTCCTTTGATCACCTATAAACACAAAACGACATTAAAAACAAGCAAATCCTAGTTAACTACTATTGTTTACAAATAAAAAATTAGGCTTACTTTTAGCATGTGTTTTTGACACTTAGCATCCTTCTTAACGGTTTGGGAGAGGCAGCTGGAACGGACAAAATGATAGTAAATTAGTGATTGGGCGCTATATAGTTGTGGCAATTTACTACTCTCACTTTTCGACCATGCAGATTTGACAAAATGGACGGTTATTTTTTGTGTTGATGGGATTTACAGGCATTTACAGGCAGTTAGTTATATATATATATATATATATATATTAAGAGCAATGATAGATCCAGTGAGTAATTATAGTAAAATAGGATAGTGACTCATGAAAAGACAAATAGACCATTTTCACTAAATATGTGTGCTTATGAGGTAAGGGTAAAATTATAATTTTCGGGGAAGATTAAAATTTCAACGAGAAAGTGGCAAAAAAATAGAGACCAAGAATTCTCCACATCACTCACTATTTTTTTCGCTATCTTTTTTCATTAAGCGTATCATTTTCCATATATTAATATATATAAAACTGGGCGTGTACTAACTTTTGATCAATTTAATTAAAACTCCTCTGTCATAAAATGATTGTTCGGATTGAATTTAATGTCTATCACAAATTATACTAAAAGTAAAAAATTCAAATAAAACATTCATTTTAGGAGTTCAGATTTTTTTAAAATACAATTTGTATTAAAAGTAAAAAAAATATAAAATAAATAATCATTTTTGGTCGAGAGAATACTTGTATAATGAAAATTTATCCGAACTTTCTAGACTAATTTTTGTTTTCTCCAAGAAAATGTTCTTGATCTGTTGATCATCTCTCCAATGCGCTACATATATGTACCCGAAATATGTAATCTAGGCTAAAAATGCAAAATTGAAATCCCTGAAGTACAGAAAATTAGGACTACAATGAATTTATTTATTTTTTTAAATAGAGGAGTAAATGACACAGTAAAATAGGTCGAATTGGGTGTATATATACTAAATGGGTGTATGTCACGGCATGTGGTATTGATCTCAAAAAAGTACCAAACAACACTTAACTATGTATCTTGATTTATTCTTTGCATTGTAAATTGTTGATTGACAATCACAGTTCACAAACACAGAAGACAATGCATCTTTTCTCAAAGGGATATCGGTTAAGAAATTTCTTAACCACTCAGCCTCAGAACCAGCCATCTCCAGAGTTATAAACTCTGACTCCATAGTGAACCTAACAATGAAAGTTTGCTTGGCTGATCTCCACGTTATTGCACCACCACCAAGGGTGAATACATAACCACTAGTGGATTTCGTCTCATTTGAATTAGAGATCCAATTAGTATCGCTATATCCCTTAAGGACAGCAGGAAATCCACTATATAGGATAACATAATTCATGATTCCTCTCAAATATTTCATCAGTCTCTCTATTGCAGACCAACATCCACAGTTGGGATTATGAGTATATCGACTCAGCCTACATACAACATTATTAAGCTATATCAGGTCTCGAGAAGTTCATCAAGTGCTTTAGACTCCCAATAATCTGAGCATACATAGACTGACCAACTGGGTCATCATGATTCTTTTTCAAGTGAATGCTAGAGTCATAGGGAGTACTCACAGGTGTCACCTCAAAATAATTAACCTTCTTAAGAAGTCTCTCAACATAGTGTTCCTGTGACAACATAATACCACCATATCTCCTAATGACTTTAACATCCAAGATCATATTTGCTTCATCACCCAGATCTTTCATATCAAAGTTAGAAGACAAGAAACATTTAGTACTATTCACAATTTCTACACTAGTACCAAATATAAGCATGCCATCAACATATAAGCAAATAATCACACAATCACTATTAACCACTTTAGTATAAACACATTTATCTACTTCTACAGATGAAAATCCGTCTCTCAGTAAGACTTGATCAAATCTCTCAGTAAAGATTTAATCAATTTACAAACTTTATTTTCTTGTCCCGCAACAACACATCCCTCAGGTTGTAACATATAAATTTCTTCTTCTGAGTCACCATTTAAAAATCCAGTTTTAACATACATTTGATGAATAAAAAGTTTATGGATAGAAGCTAAAAGAAAATAAAACTCGAATTGAAGAAATTCTAGTTACATTTGTAAAAGTATCAAAATAGTCAATATTTTCTTTTTGAGAAAAATCTTTTGCAACTAAACGAGCGTTATACTTATTAATGGATCCATCTGGTTTAATTTTTTTTAAAAAAAATCCATTTAGAACCTATAGGTTTTGCACCGGGAGGTAAATCTACCAAAATCTAAGTTTTATTTTTTTTAATAGAAATAATTTCACTTTTACTTGCTTCTTTCCAAAATTTTGAATCAGAAGAAGAAATAGCATCAGAAAATGTTACCGGATCGCTGTAAACAAGAAAAGTTTGAAAATCACTTCCAAAAGAAAATTCTTTTCTCGGTCTTGTGCTCCGTCTCAATTCTTCAGTAGAATTGACTTCTTTATTTCTTTCAACAGGTGCATGAGAAACTTTATTAGATAGTGAAAAAATATGTTCAAAGAAATCCGCATTCTTTGTCTCAATGATTGTATTAACATCTAACACATCACTTTTCAAAACAAGAAATCTATATGCAGCGCTATGTTCAGCATAACCAATAAACATACAATCAGAAGTTTTTTAACCAATTTTTCTCTTTTTAGGTTCAGGAAATATTACTTTAGCAAGACACCCCCACACTTTCAAATATTTCAAATTAGGTTTATAACCTTTCCACTATTCATAAGGTGTTCTGCCAGTTATTTTATGGGGAATTCTATTTTGTAAATAACATGCAGATAAAATATCTTCACCCCAAAAATTATCAGGTGCACGCGAACTAATTAACATAGAATTCATCATTTCTTTTAAAGTTCTATTTTTCCTTTCAGCTACGCCATTTGACTCGGGAGAATAAGGAGGTGTAGTTTCATTAATTATACCTTCATTTTCACATAAAACATTTCGAGATAAAAACTCACTACCTCAATCAGACTTTATTCTTTTGATTTTCTTATTTAGCTGATTTTCCACTTGAGATTTGTAAGACAAAAAAAGCATTGAAAGCATCATCTTTATTTCTCATCAAATAAAGTTTAGCATACCTTGAAAAATCATCAATAAAAGTCACATAGTATCTTTTACCACCTCTAGTCATGGCTTGCTTTAAATTACCTAAATCAGTATAAATCAAGCTCAACAACTCAGTTTCTCTATCAACAGACTTACATGGTTGTTTTGTTATTTCTGTTTTAGCACATATTTCACATTTAGCCACATTATCACAGTTAATGTCAGAAATCAAATCAAGAGATTGCATTTTATTTATATAGTGAATACTAGCATGTCCTAGTCTAGCTTGCCATAAAGAGAAAGAGTCAACAATATAAGCAGAAGTGGATGCATTCTCATTGAGGACATTCGATACATTCAGTACAAACAGACCCTGATTACAATATCCTTTACCCACAAAGACATTGTTTTTAGTCATAACAAGTTGATCATACTCAAACGACACTTTGACACCGGCTTTGCCTAGCAAGCTGACAAAAACCAAATTTGCCCTTATTGTAGGGACATGTAACACATCATTAAGGGCCAAGCTTTTTCCCGAAGTAAGTTTCAGGATCACTTTGCCTTTACCCACAACCTTAGTGGTCCGTGAGTCTCTAAGATAGATAATCTCTTTATCATCCCCCACAGTAGTGTAGGAGGTAAATCTTCTCGATTTGCACATATGTGCCGAGTAGCCCCAGAGTCCACCACCCATTCTTTCACATTTGTGGCAATATATACCTGAGAAATAACCGCAGCGATAACATCATCTCCTTAAGCTAAATTAGCCTTAGGAGGAGTTCTTTGGTCATGATTATTTCTCACTCTATTCCAGCATTGTGCAACATAATGATTTGGTTTTCCACAAACAAAACAATTCCCTTTCTTTTTTAAAAAATTGGGATTACCAATTATATTCAAGGGTTTGTTTTCATACCCATGTTTACCATTCTTACCTCTCTTACCTTGAACAAGGTTTGCTTTCTGAGCCATCTCCTTGGATTTGGCAGTATTGGTTGCCTTTCGGTTGGTATCTTCAATCAAGATATGAGTGATGAGTTCGTCAAGAGTGAAGGTTTTTGTGTTTGTGTTTCAGGCTATTTTTGTAATCGTTCCATGAATCGAGTAACTTTTCAATCAACACCCCCGTAGCAATCTTCTCCGGAAGTACAATCTCCTCAGCTTTCAAATCTTCAAGTAATTTTCGGTATTCATTGGTATTCATTAGTTTGGTCCTTCATCTCTTTTTCATCAGACATGTGCCGCTTGTAGAATTTTCCTACCACAAACTTTTGCTTTGTTATATCTTCCATTGTGTACTCTTTGATCAGCGCCTCCCAAATTATCTTCGCATCCTTGTAGTTGCGATACACGTCAAACAACTCATCAGAAATAGTTTGCAAGATAGTGTGGCGACAAATCTTGTTTGCATGTGGCCATAGTTCAAGTGTTTTGGCATCAATTGTTGCATCGGGTTGTAGATCAACAAGAGCGTGGGCAACTCCATAAATGTCAAGTAGAGAGTGAATATGATCTTGTCACCTTTTGAAGTTTTTATTGACAAAGACCTCAATTTGTGAGCCATCAGAAAAATGTTTGGCAAAAGGTAGTGCCATTGAAACAGTAGTTGAGATTGGCACCGTCACTGTTGGAGTTTGGGATGCTTGAGCAGCATTAGGACCAGTAGTAATCATTATTGTCAACGATTTGCAATATGCGAAAATAACTAAATAAATAAACTAGAATTCCCAAGTCTAAATGACATCTTTTGACTAGTCCTACAAACTACCAAACAATACCGTGGAATCCTTTTGAAACCAAGGAATCACCAACAAAAGCATCCAAACTAACTAGTCAATCTCATCTTTACTATAAGGGAGCCATTGCCACCATAACTGAATTGACAAGACAAACGACGATGATGAGTCCAACTTTGTCATTGAAGTTAAGGTCCTTAGCAAAGGCCATAACCCAGACAATCCCAACCGCAGATAGTAAACCGGTAGCCCCGATCTTGGTCAGAAATCTGGCTTGATTCCGCTTCCTACAAACAAACATTCCCCAAAAACTCCCAAAGAACCCAATCGCAAGAGCAGTAGCACAGCAGCGTTTGGACACAGAATCATTCAAGATGGGCGCCGTTAGATTGAACATGGACTGACCACTTATTCCACAAATCGCGACTGCCGCTGCAAATAGGCATTCCGATGGAGTCATTAAATTGCTTCTCCTAGATGAATCATTGGTTTCGGTCTGACGGATTTCAGGCCCAATAATGTTCGTTGATGAAGAAGCTTGATCTGAAGTAGTTGAATTGGAATTAGACAGTTGGCTCTCCTCATCATCATTCTCCATCTCTGGCGACGACTGTCCATTTTCTTGCTGAATTGTTGAAGGCACAACGTCCTCTGTTTTCTTCTCTCCAGAAATGGAGCCGAACAGAGACTTAATTTTGGACAATAACCAGGAGGGCCGCCTACAATTTGACTGATCAGTTTCATCTTTAGGCATATTAATTTTCACCTCCGGTGAGCTTTCAAGATGCTCTCTTGGGAGATCGTCGTGGGCAACCGGTGGTGGAAGATCAAAATCAAGCCGAAGCCCATTCCATAAAGTACCCTGATCATGTCTCCGGTCTAATGTGGAGGAGCTTCCCGGAACTTCACCATTTTGACCACCGTTCATTACAGCTTGCTGGGGATCACCGGCGGCGAGAAGCAAGTCATCAGGTAGGGCGCTGACGACATTTTCTGATGGGCATTCCACTGCAGACTTTTTCTGGGGTTGATCATCTTCATCTTCATCCTGAGAGCTCCCCGGTTTTAATTGTTCTCCCACTTTCACTGCTTCACTTGCTCTGACAAGAGGGGACAAATTCAAATAGGCAACAAAATTAAATAATAATGCACTATTTTAGAGTATTGACGAGCAACAGTGTCAACCATATAACCAGAGACTTGTAAAGTCTCCTCCATAAAAAGTCCTCCAAATTTCACCCATATTGGACAGATACTTTTTAGAAACATGCCGATATTGTTACAAACATTATCTCGGTGAAATTTATTTATTTTTGGTTAACAATATTGGTGAAATTTTCACAGACAATGACACACTTTTTTTAAGATAATCATATTTAAATCATTTGTTTCTTAGTTTTAGATGTTGGCCTAATGCCAGCGTAAAATAATGTTATTGTCAGTATAGGTAAGTCATCTTTTATTTTAATACATACGTACACTTTCTGTCCCGAAATTATTATCTAGTTTTAGTTTTTATATTTAGTATAAATTGAATCAAAAATAAAAATTCAAACTGAGCAATAATTTTGAAACAGAAATAATAAATTTTTAGCATGTAGTGTTATTATCTTATTTAATTACGTACGAGTTGTATTAATTTTCGCTTTTGGTCTGTCATGATCAAATCAACAAATCGTTGCCGTTTTCAAATTGCTCGTATTGATTTACAAACGCAAGAGAGATCGTCAAAGACGGCGGACGAATGCGAATCGGCAAGATTCATACGTAAAATCAATAATCTCCTCCATTGTTTTCGATTTCTTTGGAATTTTAGCATACATGACAATTCCAGCCCGTCGACTCTTTCTTATCCCGAAACTTATGTCGTTTCTCAACATCGATCTCTGGCTGCGGCCTGAGATTTATGGGTTCCATCCAAATAATTGACGTTGTTAAAGACTTGTCATTGCAAGATTCATTCCGGTGAATCTAAGATCTAATAATCGTATGGCATAACAAGAACCCTGATTTTGGTGTTGGTAAAATAGAATTAAAAAAAAAAAAAAAACTATTCGTGATATGGATACTGTACTAACCATATTAAATTAACCACATTTCTATCCTCCCGGTTTTGTTTGTTATACTAAAAATAAACTCCCCTTATCCCCAAAAAAGAAATTCACATTAAATTTTTAAATTTGTACAAATTTTAATACAAATTTCAAAACTCGATGTGAACTATTTTTCCTGGGACAAAGGGAGTACTTTATATTTTGTAACATTTAAAGAGAGTGTTTTTCTTCAAAATTACGAGGCTTCGCCTTCTTTAATATTAACCCGAAAATCAAGAATATTTAATTCTTAGACTAAAATATGAAAATAGTCTTCTACATTAGACCAAATGCACATATTGGTCTTTTCCATTAATATTTGAATGAAATGGTTTTTATTTCAGAATGTAACTTTTTTGGTTTGTTGCCACTATTCAAGCACTTTGTCATATTTATAATCAAGTCAATAGGGAGATTTTTAGAATTGATTTTTTTTATTTTTGAAAATATTATATTGAATAAAATTTAATATAAAATTTTAAAAAATATTAACAAAAAATTAAGAATTTTAATTAGATATTAAAATTATAAAAAAATTCAAAATTTTAATTTCTTAAACTAAATGAAAAATAAAAAGAAAACATAATTAAATTAAAATTTAAGATTATTTTCAAATCTAACTTTTTTACTTTGGATATTTTTAACTTATGAAATTATAGGAAACTATACTTACATGGTAGATTCCTCAAAAAAAAAAAAATCATCTTATCAATTATGTTCTTTTTTGAAAAATACTAATTTCTGAAATTATTTACGATTGCATAAGCTTTAGAGTTATTTTAATAAAATATTAATTAAAAAATTCAGAAATTTTGGAATTTAGTTTTTTTATAAAAACATAATTTTGAATTTTTAATAAAAAATATAGTTTTTAATTTTTTGATTTATTTTGATTAATTAATTTATCTTAATATTTACATTATTACTTTATTTGTTACGGAAAATCTTCCATAATTACATTTCAATATATTAAGAATCTCTATCAAATAGTATTTATTTCGATAAGTACACAGAACAAGTAAAAAAAATGAAGAAACTGAAGAAGATTTTTTTTTTTTTTCTGTGGAATCTACTATATAAATCTAGTTTCCTATAATTTCATAAGTTAAATAATATCCAAAAAAAGAAGAAGATTTGAATAAAATCTTAAATTTCAACTTAATATGTTAGAGAATTCCATAAAAGTAATATATTTTTTATCTATCCAAAGCCTAATACATTAAAAATGATATAAAATTTGTGCAAGAAAGTAAAGTTGTTATCATTGCTTTTCGTTTTAGTTTTTAAAAAATTATTTTTTAAATTTTTAATTAATTTAATATCTATTTTAAATTATTAATTATTTTATTAATATAATTGTTTTAATTTTTATATTCATATTTTATTTACTATAAATTGTTTTGAAAAAAATTAATTCAAAAAATACCTATGTTAATTTGATCATAATTCTGATCAAAATGCATGAATATTGTGAAAGGATAAAAAATTTATATTCTGAATGTTAAGGACTATTTTAGCCGAATATTAATGTAGAGAATCAAAATATGCATTTGAACTAATATAGAAAATCATTTTCAAATTTTAGTCTTAATACTTATGTACAGAACTTCCAAATTCCGGATCAGGGGCAATCCAATTTGTATGAAAACATTAGCATCAGAACGTATGAATTACACATGTCTACATCCAACTAATTTCTGCTATCATCTACAAGGTATACTATAACAAAAATAATAGTACTACAGAAAAGAAATAAATAAATATAAATAAAAGAAAGTGTCTTCTTACTTCTCAGGCTCCTCACGAGTGATGAGGAAGGCTTGAGTTGAGTTTTGACCTCTAGCTTTGAGTTCCCGACTTGTACACCACCGGGAACGTTTCTTCACGCGCTGAGATTGCGAAAAGAATTGCTATTCAGTACTCTATACTCATGTGCACATCATTAATACTTTATTAATAGTAATGCAATAACAAAAGAAAAGTCAAAACAAAACAAAACAAAGCTGCCACTCATTTACTCACCGACACCGATGGGTGCAGGCGTTGACGCTGATGTTCCTACATAGTCAAGCAAGGATATACTAAGTCCTACTGAATCAGAGATTCCGTTGAAATGAAATTCATAAGAATGCTAATGCAAATACAAAATCAAAAGGGCGAATCTAACTAATTAACCTCGATCCACTCCTTCCGTCGGCGGTGATATTCCAGCAAAGCTTCTTGTTCCTGGTGAAACATATTCAACAAAGTCAAAGGAAGATTTCCGTCAAAATGCTCCAGGAAATGATTTAGGGAATCGGATAGAGGGGTTTTGGGTTTTGGGCTCAAGCCGCTCAACTCATCAAAAGGTTTGCAGCCGTGAACAAGTTGTGCCATATCCGGGAACAATGGAAGAGATCGAAAAGGATGACTGGCTGAAAAATCAAATTAAGGATCAAGAATTATATGTAGGATTTTTGAGGTTTGAGAATTTCGAGCAGATTTTTTATGATATGTTTAGAGATATATGTATATATATAGAGAGATAGAGAGAGGAAGAAGATGTTGGCTGAACACTTAACTAAATTTCCTCGCATTTTCATTGTCCCCCCGGGGCCAAAAAGGGTATTACCTCCAATCACATTAAAATAATGCATTTCCTCCCCCCCCGGCAAAAAGGGTATTACTTCCAACCACTTTAAAATAATGCTCACTACTAATATTATTTCTTTTGAGTGTATGTTTGGAAATTTTTGACTTAAAATACATTGGAATATGAAAAACGATACTTATTTTAGAAATTCTTCATTTTGCTAATACGACATTTATTTTGGAATGGATGGAGTAATTCTTTGTCTTTTATTTTTATCTTTAGTTTTAGGCACAATTATACAAAGAAAAAAAGGCAAAAATTCTTATTTTGTGATTAAATTAACACTCATATTGTCGGGTTTAATGACTTTCGAGCGCCGTGGTGTTTAGGAATTTGCGAGGTAGTGACGCCTGTAGTCACCATGCATGTCCTTATGCATGATATGCTAATTTAATCACCATATATAGCCATGGCCATCATCATCACCATAGTCATACCCATGGCCATTATCATTACCACCACGGCCATTATCAACACCATGGCCAACACCAAACCCATCATCATCACAGATGCCAAGAAGACCAAAAGGCCTTGGAGGCGCAATGGGTCTTGAAGTACTATTTCTGCATCCCCTTGACCAAACCCTCCCACATTAGGATTACTCGTTAATGGTTGATCAAATTTGATGGATTCGCCCTCTGAAACAAGAAGTTCTGGTCCTGGGGGGATAATATCAACCACTTCTTGTCCACCCGTATCTGTTATGGTTATTTCATATCCCCCTTTTTCTTTTCGTAAGATTTTGCTTACTATACTCTTCTTTGTAGCATTATAAATCTGTATTGTTACTCTTACTCCCGTCAGGATAAATCGACCCCTTCCTCGGTTCCCGCCCACGTATATAGGATACTTTAAGAAGTAAATATCTTTCTTCGTAGCGGTCCGGGAAAGTATAGGAAAGGTGATTTCACTATATTTCGACCGTGCACGGTCCTATCACAAGAATATTTTTTTATTGGGGCGATAGCTCTGAAAAGACAAATTGCCTATCCTTTCTTTAATCTCCGGAGAAATACGATCGGAAGGAGCTAATTCAAACCCTTCCTAGTAAAATAAGAACACCCCTACATTCAAACCCCTTTTTACCATTAGCAAGAACTTGTTTCATTGCATATCATAAGGAATTCGAACAACCGCTTCAAATACAGTATCAGGAAGTACCGCCTGTGGAACCTCAATATCGACGGGCTTACTTGCTAAATGGCAATTGGCACAGACAATACGCAGTCTCCAACAATTATTCCAATAATTACATATCCGATTTGACCTATGGACGAATATGCAAGCATACGTTTCATGCTTGTTTGAGTAATAGCAACGAGATTTCCCACTATCATGCTAAGAATAGCTAGGATTTCCAGAAGAAGATGCCATTCGTTTGATGAGAAATAGCTGTTTTCAAATCGATCATGACGCCGGATGGCTGAAAGAGAAAGCCCGCGGATCTCTATCTATCGATCGTATATCTAGAGTGGGATCATATCATACATATCCTAAAGGAAGGGGTATATTATGATTTTAGCTCAAAGACGGATAAAGCCCCTAAACTATAAGATAAGTAAGCCTCTCCAGATCTTCTTTCTTTGAGGAAGAGGCGAAATACAATCAACTTGAATTCGGGACCGCTATTCGAAATCTTAGTGAAACACTGGATTTCTTATCTCATGTCTGCTTTTCGTGAAAAAATACCAATTGAAGTGGAGGGTTTCTTCAAACAACAAGGGGCTGGGTCAACTCCTAATACAAGACCAAAAATAGGAACAAGTGTCCATAATATACCATAGACCACTTCCAATCTTGAAAAGGGATTAATAGTCTGTATTTCAGTTGTATCCATTATCATTTTAATCATTTTAACGATCAACTTCTTATCCTACTTTCACGCAATTCACAGGGTTCAATAAGCAATCGATATTTCACGATCAGGGGTGGAATACTCTTTGATGGCCATCAGATAATGATAAGCAATCACAGGAAACAAATTAGTGCCCAGATCGTCAATCATTTTCCCAAGGAACAAGCTATTGCGGCAGATAATAAAAATAAAAAAATCGATAGGTCAAAGACAAGCTATTGCGGCAGATACCATAACAATTAGAATCTAAGGCTATGGTAGACATAGTAGTTAACAAAATAAAAATAAATAAATAACAACCTGCTCAGATACCATAACAATTAGAATCTAAGGCTGAATTCATCGTACAATGATGACCCTTTCATTTCCCGAATGGCGGCCAAAAATGAGTACATATATATATTCATATATATATTACACGCCCCTTCGATCGAGTTTTTACCATGCTAACCCTAACGACGTTAGTAAATACAATAATTACATACTAACATGATTGTTGCACATTTCTCTAGATTTCGGAATGAGTGTCACATTGACTATATATATATATATATATATATATATATATATATATATATACTAGTGATGTCTGGTCGCGCAATGCGCGACCCTAGCCTAATATATCTGTAGATTTTAGAAATATTTGTATCTGAAAAAAAAATATTTTGTATTTGGCCCGATATAGTTTAGAAATATTTGAAGAATTTTAGAAATGTTTTATAAGTGTGATGTTTGTATTTGGCAAAAAAATAAATTGTATTTGGCCCGGTACGTTTTAGAAATATTTGAAGATTTTAGAAATATTTTATAAGTGTTACTTCTTAAATATAAATAAACTTGATCAAATATATGTCTTGAAGTAAATGCTAGACAAAATATACAAGCATCCTAATTAGTTTAAATATTAGTAAGATAATTTATTGATTTTCTCCATTGGTTGTGTCAAATCAATACTTAGTTTTGGAGATTTATAATAGCTTAATTATTGGAACTATTTCTTCCAAAAGTTTACAGGTAGTAAAATATCAAAAATATGATTTTGAAACTGGTTAATTGTTGAAACTGGTTGATCACAAATATGAGAATGAAAATAATATAAATTTGCATAGGTTTCAAGATATAGCAAAAAAGAACTCACCTCACGATGGCCAAAAAAAAAAAATAAAGATAGCCCATTAAAATTTGAGAATTTTTATTTTTTTGTATGTAAAAATGATATATAAAAACACAAATAAACGTAGAAACATCATTCATTCCCTCTCCACCTCAAATTCATAAAAGGATTCCCCATAAATTAGTTAAAAGAAGCGACCTGAACTATTTATATGATGAAGAACTAAAAAAAGTCTAAAAACCAAATCCATTTGCAAATATACTAATAATAAACGTGCTTCATTTGCAAGAATATACTAATAATAATATACTAAAAAAGTATATTCTTGAAACCCCAAAAAAGAAACGTGCTTCATTTGCAAATAAAATAATAATAATAATAATAATAATAATAATAATAATAATTGGTCAACTGGGAGTATGAAACAAAATCAAAAGTAATTAAACCAAGAAAAAACACACTTCATAATTGGCCATATACGAAAAAAAAACCTAAGACTCCATAATTAAAAAAAAAACCACTCTAATTGAATGAAACATAAAAAATAAATTTAGAAAATCACACTTTGTAACAAAAACCCAATCAATCAATTCAATCCAAACATAACTAAAATCATACAAAAATTCTAAGCTAACTAACCAAATAAGAAATCACATCATACTACCTGACAACGGCTACGGTAGCTGTAACGGATGGACGCATAAAAATAATAGTAATAACATTATTCTTGAACGGGAAAAACAAAAAATAATAAAAGCCAAACTAATGATCTGTCGAAATAAAATTATTTAAATTTTAATACCTGCAATGGCACCACCACAACGACCGAAGCAAGATCAATGAGAATTTTTTTTTCCCTTTATGTTTATATAGAGAGGTAAAGAGAATATTTTTCGAAGTTGAAATTTTATCCGATTAAGATGTAGTTGATCATCACTAATGAAAAAATTGAATATTCTAATAGGAAAGGAGTATATTTCACCACATATTCTCAATTGATGATTGATGAGGAATTTGTTTTTTTTTAATTGTGGAGAAGGAATTGATTAAGGAGTCGATTGTCGTGGAGATGGGGATGAGGATTTGGGCTTTTTATGAATCCGTGATTTTTTTTTTTGTTTGTTTTGACGAAAATAGGAGGTGGAAGTGAATTTAGACTGCATTTGCTTTTTAAATTTAGGAGATGTGGTAATAAAAATTTATTTTAAAAATATGATGTGGAAATGTCACATGGCAAATGATGGTGCTTTCTCTTAAGTGTGGTTTTTGTTTCTAATATAGTAAGAGTCGATTGTCGTGGAGATGTGGATGAGGATTTGGGTTTTTTTTGAATCCGTGATTTTTATTTTTTTTTTGTTTTGACGAAAATAGGAGGTGGAAGTGAATTTAGACTGCATTTGCCTTTTAAATTTAGGAGATGTGGTAATAAAAATTTATTTTAAAAATATGATGTGGAAATGCCACATGGCAAATAATGGTGTTTTCTCTTAAGTGTGATTTTTGTTTCTAATATAGTAAGATATATATATATATATATATATATATATATGAGAAACCATAGAGAGAAAATGAGTTTAAGGTGATATTTAGGACACAATCTTAGGTATAATTTTCTCACTTATTCTCACACAAAAAACTTACTACAATTGTCTCTAGGTCCTCCAAGTTGAACTTAAATCAAATAGGAAGAAATATAATTAGAATTATGAGAAAATAATGGAACCAAAATCATTATCACAACACTATAATTTTTAAAATTCTCTTTAGTATTTTATATGTTGATGATTATTATATTATTTTTAAGGTGACACCTAGGAAAAAATCTTAGGTACAATTTTCTCATTTATTCTCACACAAAAAACTTACTACAATTGTCTCTAGATCCTCCAAATTGAACTTAAATCAAATAGGGCGAAATATAATTAGAATTTAAGTGCAACTAATTATGAGAAAATTATAGAACCAATATCATTATCACAACACTATA